AAGGACCACAAAGGATATAATTTTGTGGAGGCCCATGATCACTTACATCTTGAAAGACAGCGAATAATCTTACCGAGTTTGAGTGAATGGATAGCAAAACGGGGAAAACATGCATGATAAAGCGTTATATAGATCAACAACGACAGGAAGTTGTGGAGAGCCATAATTGCCAATCTGCTTAAAATACCTGGCATATGTAAGAAAAATGTCAGTAAAATTCTGTCATCGGGACATTTTATAGCCTTATTTACTGAAATGGAGGAATAGAGCCACGGCGGAGTTATATATTGCCGCTCGGAATGGAATGGGAGAAGCGAGTTAGAATTCCAATAGAGTTCATTACATTCACATATATGCTAATACCCTTGGGGAAAGTATGAACCTATCTCTTTTTTTCCATAGCTATTGGTAAATGCCAGAATAAACGTTTATATACCACAGGTTAGCGACGAGTCTAGGGAAAGGAAAACACTAAATTCAAACCGGCCTGCAGAGCGCTGAGTTCCGTCAGGCTATCTTGCTCAGGACACACCAGTGCGGCTACAGTATATGTGGTGCCCCTACGAACCTAATGGTTAAAGGGACTCGTGATCGTGAAGCATAGATCAGATCTTGTATTACATGTTGTTTTGTGTGATATCCCTGGCAGGATATATACTGAAATGTTCAGTCATGATAATGATTATATATTGTGACACTGAATTCAGGGGATTTTTTTAATCGAGTTCACCCCAAGCAAGGTAGTAAATTCACTAAGACACAAAGGAATATTGAGTATTGAACTATTAGAAAACAGAAACATTATTAAGGAGGAGAACAAAAGAAGAGTAATCCGGAGGACAGTAAAAGCGACTGACATGGCATTTAAATTTTTGAAGATTAACACTTTGAGATCTGAATTACTGAACAATTTTCACCCTTCTGACTGATCTTCTGAGTCAAAATTCGCAAATAATTGGTATGTAGGTTGATATAAAAAATAGTTACAAGTGCTCACACACCATTGAACCACTGGCTGGGCATTAAGTCATTTTTCTCTACCACTGGTAAAGCGGTGTTCAGGGCTCAAAGCGCTAAAATTAACTGGAAAGTATGGAGCCGAAAGAGAGTTCCACAAGCGAGAAGTGCGATTAGTCAAGTGTAGAGTTTAAGGAGAATTCACGGACGAAACATTCAGCTTTATCAGCAGACGTTGTTAACACATCAAATTGATTGAAGAGAAAAGTGGAATCTAATTTTATTAGTGCCAAGTCGTCATACACAGTCAGAGTGTGTAAAATAAAGGTGCCTATTTAAGGTTAAGGATATTCCATATTGAAGATGGAGTAAGGATTATAAAAAAAAATAAAACAGGAAATAAATTGACAGAAGATAAAATATACTGCTGCTTGATTAGCTGCCAACACAAGCAATAGAGTCCAGTCGATGTTATTTAACGCGTCGATCGAAAGAGAATAGATGGATCCATGTTTATTCCACAGAGACTAGAGCAAAAATGGACGCAACATGCGAATTTGAATTCGGATAACCATGTCGATAACCGTTACATTATATAAATATCTTTTTTTTCTCTCTTCAATATCTCAATATTTTATTTCTTTTGTCCATTTTCTATCACAGTGTTAGGCACTTTTTTGTCATCTACCCACCCCCCTTTCACTCTTACACTTGCTATCCATCTTTCAATTTCTCTCACTCCTTCTCCTTCTTTCATCTCACTCATAGTCACTCAAACACTGTCATTTTCTCTCTATATTCAGTAAGTTATGTGCTATGTGTGATCGTTCGATACATAACTGACGAGGCAGATTTTTTCCCGCAGTAGGTTGCCATTTCTTTCTTCGGTAGGCCAGTTGCCATCCAAGGCTATACAACCCGGTCCATCCTGCTATTATAAGGGGGGGAGAAGAGTATTTATACCTTTCCCAAGGGTAAATAAATGAATTCACGTAAGTGAATGTAATGGATTCGACTAGAATTCGAACTCGGCTCTCCGATTCCTCTATCCATCTATCCGACCCGCTATCCATTACTCCACCGTGCCTCCTCTCCTCTCCTCTCCTCTCCTCTCCTCTCCTCTCCTCTCCTCTCCTCTCCTCTCCTCTCCTCTCCTCTCTCTATTACATTCCCTCATACTTTATCTTTCTATCACTCTCGCTCTCTTACTTCTCTCTCTCATTAACTTACACTTTTCCCCCACTCACTATCACTCTTTCACGCTCTTTCTCTCACTCACTCACTCACCCTCTCTCTCTCTCTCTCTCTCTTTTAAACTTTCTATATTTCACTCTCTCACTTTCTGTCTCATTTCATATTTCTCACATTCTCGCTCTCCTAGTTTCTCCAACTCTCTCTCTCTCTTCCAAACTTACAACCTCACTCTCCCTCACACACTCTCACTCACTTACACTTCCTCATTTTTTCTCTCACTCTCTCTCTCTCTCTCTCTCACGTCAACTCTTTCTCTCTCATTTTCCTACACCCACTCTCGTTCACCCCCACTCTCTCACTTTTTACTCTCTCTCTATCTCTCTCTTGCTGTCTCTTTCACTTTCACTTTCTCTCTAACCTATTGCCCTTAATACTGAATGTTAATTATCTGTTTCATTTTATTTTTAAGACTCGCTTTCACTTACGATAATCAGAGAAATTATTTTATCCGCGTATCAGCGTATTAATGTCTCTATCGTTAGTTATAAATGTTCAGTGACATTTTACATTTAGAACTTTTTCACTTTTTCCTTTCTCTTGATCTGTCAAATGAATTATTTTCTAGTCTTTTTTAGTTTTATTTGATGTTTGTCTTTTGTAAGCGAGTGAAAAGAGCAACAAAACTGCAATAAATATATAAGTCGGTGTTTACTAAGCTTCACTAATAATCTGTGACAAGTTTGCAAACGAAGACCGCTAGATGAGAATTAAATATATTCCGAAACAACTATCTGATCGTAGCAGGTGTTACCAATTAGTATCTATCGATCGATCGATCGATCGGTCGGTCGAAAGGATGGATACATAAGCAAATATGAACAGTCAGAAACAGAAAGACATAGTTAAGGGGCATTTGAACTCTTAAATAATATTGGTTCTTTGTAGGTTTGATTTTGCGGGTGTGTTTTTATTTGTCATGTTAAATTTAGCAGTTTTAAATTGTTTGAAATAGATAATTAATTTAATTTTCTTTTACAGGTAGACTGGGGTTGTGTAATTTTTATGATATTTCAAAGGGAAAATTCGTCTCGCTTATAGTTGACATATTTTGTAGAAGATATTGATTTATTGTTTTATCTGTATACTCAGTATCGATATCACTTTAGAAAGAAATAGTCTAATGTGGTGGTCAATGAGGTAGTTAGGAAAACCGTTGTTAACTAGCGTTTGTTTTATATTATTCAGTTCTTTATGGAAAATGGGACGAGAGGATGAATTAAGTGGATAGTCACTCTACTAGATGTTTTTTTTTGTATAATGAAATGGTGAATGTGTTATTACATAATTCTATGAGAACATCTAATAATGGGAGGTTATTTTTTTACTAAGTTCATAGATAAAGTTAAGGACAGAGTTTTTCCGAATGTGGTTTTAAGATTATCAATTTCTTGTTTGTTTTTTCGCTAAAATAAAAATATCGTCTACATAATGGACATATATTTTTTTGATTTAGTGACTTGTTTAAATATCGGGTTTCGTACGTGGGATGTGTAGTAGTTGGAGATGAAGTACAGGAGAGGATTTCTTAAACTAGCACTATTAGTTTCAGTGTAGATATTGCCATTATGGCCGTAGAAAAGGACTTTAGATGTGCAGTCAGGCAATAATCTTTTGACGATATCTGATTTGATGGATGGAAATGGAATTATTTTTTATACACGAAGTTGAGGATTATATCGATAGTTTGATCAACGGGGATGTTTGTAAATAAACATTCAACATCGAGTGACACTACACACACACATATATATATATGTAAAATAAAATAATACACACACATATATATATGTAAAATAAAATAATACACACACACACACACACACATATATATATATATGTAAAATAAAATAATATACACACACACACACACACACACACACACACATATATATATATATATATATATATAGATAGAGAGAGAGAGAGAGTGACTCTGGCCTTTCGATACTGCTCTCAGTGTTCACTTTTACATATATATAGGTTACAAAGATCAATATACACCTGAAGAAGCCCAGAGAGGACAACGGCCAAAACGTTGTGATAACAACAAATTTGAGGACATAAATAGGGGATATATAAAAAGTATAAATAACACACACACACACACACATATATATATATATATATATATATATGGATGATGTTTGTAAAAATGACGTAAGCGTTATTTTATAAATAATTTTACATTTTTTTTTTTTTGCGGACGCTGGAAATTTATTTTTGAAAAATTCTAATTTTGAAAGACTGGGAAAAAGTCAATGTTTTAAAAATTAAAAAATGTATAATTTATATAAATCCGTCGTTATTTTTCTGACTACCATATGTAAGCACATATTTATTTTTATAACATTTTCGCTTTCTCTCCCTTTCCATATGACTGTGTGGGCGTTTATCGATCCTTGTCAGTCACTTTATTTTATGCAAGCCTCGGCTTCTTTAAATCTATTTTCTTCTCTTTATGATCGCCGCATCAAGCGTAATGGCCCCTTTTCTCTGTAACAATTCTGTTGTTTTCCCTTCTTCTTTCTTTCTGTTTTATTTCTACTTTGATTCTTAAAACCCAGTTCATCGATCGATCGATCAGTTTATTCTGTCGCCTTTATCGTCTTCACATTTCCCCATCCTTCTTCGTAAGTAGGCTCTTCAAAAATTCAAAATTCATATCAGAAGCTATTATTATTATTTATTATTATTATTATTATTATTATTAAATTTATTTATTATCTTATTCTAATTATTTATTTTTGTTTGTTTATTTTCGATCGCTCACTTTCATATCAACGCGGTTTTCAAGTTATTAAAACATAGCAAAGATGAAAAATTAAATAAATAAGAGGAAGAAATATAAACTCAGAATGAAAAATATACCTTTTTGAAGAGAAACAAAGCAAAAGAGAATGATGCGAAAAAGGAAACTCAAAGAGAATATAACAGGAAAAAACAAAGAAAAATAAAGAGGAGAAAACAAAGGAAAAACGGGTAAAATAAGGACACAAAAAAAAAATACAATTTGAGGGAGACGAAAAAAGTGTGGTAAAAGAGAACGGGAAAAAAAAGGAAAAGTGAGAAACAAAAGAAGGAAACAAGAAAAACAAAGAGAAAAAAAAAACAAGGAAAGCTAAACTGGAAAAGGCAGATAGGGAAATAAGGAAAGGCAAAGAAAGTGTAACGGGGGAAAACAAAGAGAGGGTAAGAGAGCAAAATGCAAAGAAGGTGAAACGGTGAAAGAGAAGAGGGAAACGAAGAAAGAGACAGACAAAGAGTGGGAAAGGGAAAATACAAGAAAAAAGACAAATGTAAAAAAAAAAAGAGAGAGTAAAAGGCAAAGAAACGGAAACTGGAAACAATAAAGAGAGGGAAAATAAGAAATGAAAAAGAGAGGGAATAAAGAAACAATAAAACAAAGTAAAAAAAAGAGTAGAGTAAACGATGATGGAGTCGGGAGAAAACGTCTGATCAGCCTCCAAAGAAGAACATTTCAGGCAAAGGTGGCGTTTCACTGTTGAACAAAGAACAATACACGACTTTATAATCAAATCATGCATAATTTCGTATTCGGTTGGCAATCATCAAGTTGTAAGAAGAAATTACCCCGATGAAAATTATTATGTAAATGTTTTAAGGATTAATGTCTGACGATAATAAATTTCAAGTTGAATACATTAAAATAAAGTCCACTTCCGTTTGTCTTTTACCTTACTGCAAAATAAGTAACAAGTAATAATAATAATTATATGTTCTTCAGAATTGACCAACTTTCTGAGAAATCGTTATGTTATATTTTAATTTAATAATTTATTAATTTATGAACAGAAACAAAAGCAGTAAAATCAAGAGAAAAGGGAGATGAAGACAATCCGAGGTTCTGTGTTGATATTTTGAAAGGAGGTGTAGGAGACTTGCTCCTCAGGTTGCAACAGCTATTACCTATCTTGAGTGGACCGGCAAAGTTCTTCTTCTTCTTCTTCTTCTTATTATTATTATTATTATTATTAATAATAATAATAATAATAATAATAATAAATCTCCTCAATCATCTTCGCCTTCGTGATTCACCGATCACCGAATCCATGTCAAAAAACCTGGTCAGATAGTTCTGCTCTTTCGCTAGACTACGGGCACGATCTAGATGAAGGGGAACAAACATGCTAGAGATTTAAGGAGGTGGCAGAAGATGAAATTGACAGTTATACCAGACGTTATCGAAGTGCTTGGACTCCAAACCACTTTAGGGAAAAGGTTGAAAAATGGAAATCAGAAGCTTCAATCTACTTCCTTAGGACTAGGAAGAATAATTTTGAATTATTCTGGATACTTGCTGTCACTTGATCTCCAGTCACTACTACTACTACTATGATAATAATAATAATAATAATAATAATAATAATAATAATAATAATAATATGCCCTTCTGCTACACAACGCATGGCTCCTGAACTTATTGGATTAGAGGTGTTAATATTTATGTTTTATCTTTGTGAATTAAGATGGGCTACAGCAAATATATATTTTTATCACACACAAACACAGACACACACAGCACGACCATACTTTATAAATCCTATAACCGAAAACATCTCGCTGTCAGTGGAGCCTAAAACATCTGGCACTCAGTATCAGTCTCACCTTATTTAGCAGCGAAAATACTGTGTTTAAGTTTGTTTTTTGTTTTGTTTTGTTTTGTTTTTGTTTTTTTTTTAAATAGAGAGAGGCCAACTCGAAGACCAACCATGTTCCTTTCTCGGGGCTCGGAATAAACGCTACTACTAGGCATCATGCAACAACATCTTGAAAAGAAATTAACCAAAAACCCTATGAAAATAAGTGCCTGAAAAGCGCTTGGGACAGTAGAGAATAGGAACGATTTTTACACTCCCCTTAACCCCACCCAAAATGAAATAATATTAGAAAAACTAAATAAAACATTCATCAAACTTTCCTTGTCTGTCATATTCAATGAAACATGTTTGAAAGAAAATATATATAAATATATATATATATATATAATATATATATATATATATATATATATATATATATATATATATATATATATATATATATATATGTGTGTGTGTGTGTGTGTGTGTGTGTGTGTGTGTGTGTGTGACTTCTCAAAGAATGCTTCACTACACACTTGATTCAAGTCAGAGGGCTGTGGTGCAAGTTTTCATCAGTGACAGTGCGTAAAGATACTTTGATCCTCGACACAAATGCCCATTTACGCATTAATAATTCCATCAATTTGATGGCTAATAATAATAATAATAATAATAATAATAATATCGCACAACAATAACTGTTGAAGCATAAATCGATTGCTTGAACACTCGATTGATGAAAAGATTTTGAATGGGGCAAGAAAATGATTGATGACCAAACAGATCAGGGAGGTTGAAAATGTAAATTACATGTTGAATTATCGATCGATCGTTCTGCTGTATCTCGATTATCGAACGACTTATCCCCTTAGTAGCAAAAGATATTCACTCCAGCAGATTTGATTAGGCACGTCTAGGATTTCGCAATAAAACTGGGATTAACACGCCTATATTTTTAAAATTTTCTGGCTATATTTATATGAGAATTATATTGTTTAATTTTTAGTTTATGCTGAATAAGTAAACACAAAAGATGTAGATAATAAAAGCATATTTGATTAACACAATATCCCATATAACTGAAACAATTTTGAATTTATCTTATATGTTAATATCGGCTCCTTATCATTCACCGGGTTTTTAAAAATTGTAAATTCATTTCTCTATTTTTCAACATTAACATTTCTTACATTAAATTTCTATTACTTCTCAGAATTCTTCTTTGCTTGAATATTATTTGCTATTATCATATACATCTCTTTTAATGATGGACTACGATTTTGACTGGATTAATATCTGAAGAGGCAGATGAGGAATGCATTCCATTATTTGATGTTTTTGATATTTCTTTACAGAATATGAAAACATATAATTTATTATTTTGCATACCATTATGATGGAAGAGTTCAGAATTCCATTCGAGTTCATTGCTTTCATTTAGGTGTTAATACTCTTGGCATGAATCCATCTCTTCTGCCCAGTTATGGGTAAAATAGCAGGAGAGGCTATAGTTATAACCTTGGTTGGCAAACAGTCTAGGAGAAGAAAAACAGAAGGAAAACCACTTGTAGCCTGCTTCTTTTGGCAAAGCATAGAAAAAGGTAACTTAAAAGAACAAATTCAACTCACATGCTGTCTCGAAGAATGGAATTACTCTCACCCTGTGTTATGGGGTCCTCCCCTTTTCATATAAGTGGACTCTACCAGTGTTACTTGGAGTGCTGCCGTTAGTGCTGAGTTAGACAGTCAGTGAGAGAGGATATACGGCGAGAGAGAGAGAGAGAGAGAGAGAATATACGAACGGAGATAGTGTGAGGTAACCTCTTGTAGAAATCAGTTACAAGCACGTAGACTCTAAGGAAGTCCTACTTCGAGACTGTATATATCCATCTGTATTTGCTACTAACCGCGTTCCTGGACTTACAAACAGTATTACTCTTTGTATGATTGTGTAAATACCTTTTATTTCTTATATTTAATTATTGCGTTTGTCATTCCTTGGAGACCGAATTCATCTCGGAATCCACAACACCCTGCAACTTCGAGCCGCGGCAAAAATAATGAATTCCTCGAGTTTAGTACAATGTTTCGAACAAGCATAAGACTGCGACACAGCACTGCGTCGTGGACTACTCTGATTTCAGACCATTCGTCCATGCGTCTATCACCTCCAACACCTTAGACGACAACATTATATATATTATGTGTACCATTCTATAACTCTTAATCTTTTAATCATTGGTTTTGGGAATTTCTCTATTCTTTCCTGTTAAACATTATTTGCAGAATTTTTATCGCTTCCTAGAGATTATTATTTGAATAATGTTTGTGTTTACATATAGAGCTCTTTTAATGATCGGTTTTAACTACCTGTTTCGACATTAATATCAATTGTAGTTTTTTTTTTCTTTTCTGACATCTCAGCTTGAATATAATTAATGATGGACCACAAGATTTTGATATCTGAAGAGACAAGTGAGAAGCACATTCCTTAATTTGATGTTTTTGACATTTATATGTAGGTATATGAACATGTTATTTTACTATCTTACATGACATACAATAGGTTGCCGTTAATTTCTGCGTTAGACTGGTTGCCAATCAAGGTTATAAGACCTAGTCTACCTTGCTATCCAACTTACAACTTGAGGGAGAAGAAATGGATTCTTAGCTTTCCGAATGGTATTTGTGCGGAAGTGGATTTAATGAACCCGATTGGAGTTCGAACACGGCTCTCTGACTTCGCATTTCGAGTCCTTATACATTGCATCACAATGCACATCTCTAAAGAGCGTTAGTATGGGTTAATTTTATGGACTTTTCTACTGTTTACTTTTAAACATTACTTGCTGAATGTTTTTTCTCGGAGATTTTAATGATGGCTCAAACAGTTGCTGCTTAATTAACATCTGGAGAGACCGAGGGCCCTTCCATTAATTTGGTGTCTTGAGTAATAGCCATCTTTAAATTGATTTGCATTAATATATATTTTTAGCGTAAAGCTTATTACATGTGATTTGCACCACTCAAAATCCGTCTTGTACATGAACTTACAGTAATTATCTGCATTTATCATATCACCACCATAAACTTTAAATTCGTAAAGGACCTATAATTTAACTGTTAGCAATACTAGTCAAAGTATTAGATGAGCGCAGAGCATTTAAACATTACATACAGCATCCAAAACGAATCTACTGATAGGAAACAACGTTCCTGCTTTGTCTCGAGAGACCAATGTACTGTTGATGAAAAGGGAGATATACCGACGATTTAGGTTTTGATAGTTGGAATAAAAATAACCTTGAATAAATTTCAGCCCCCAAGTTTTTCATGAAATGAACTCGAGATAAACCATACCAAAAGAGAATCTATGTTCTGGAATTGGAGTGAAACCAGAGATGACTCGTACATAAATCCTCCTTAAAAAATCAGATTGTAGAATTGATAAATACTAAAGACTTCAAATATATATGGATCATTTTTTTTTTTTTTTTTTTTTTTTAAGCATTTCACCCCAAGCAAGGCGGGAAGCCACTAGGACACAAGGGGTTACAGAAAATTTAGAGCAAGATCAGATAGGAGTGATAGAAGAAAGGATGAGGGTAGTGGATAGATCAAAGCAACTGGAGATATCGATTGACATTACACTTGAATAGCTGGAGATTATAGCTCACAGGGAAACAGGAGAAGGGAAGGGAGTTCCACAGGCGAGAGGTGCGAGACATGAAGCTATTAGAGAAGAAGAGACGGCTGCATTTAGGAGTTTCGACAGTGAAGGGGTGAGAGCGGGATGCCAGACTAGTTGGGCGCTGGAACTCATGACGTCTGGGAACCAGCGAATGCAGCTCCTGCGCGTCTGTGAGAAAGTGACTGTAGACGAGACGCCAGGGCAGGACCAACCACATTGCATATCCGCCTCTGGAGCCTATCAAGAACCCCGAGGCAAACAGAAGGGGCACCAGACCACATATGGCAGCAATACTCCATGCAAGGGCGAATTGTGGATTTGTAGATCTGGAGGATCGACTCCGGGGAGAAAACTTCCTAGCGCGGCTCAGGGAGCCAACTTTATAACGAATTTTGTATAAGAGATAAAGAAATTGAACATAGAATATGCTGCGCTAGAGATAGTTCCTACCAATACCGCAAAAACCTTAACCTAAAATCTCGAGTAATGAATTTAAATAGCCTCGTCAAATCGAGACATTCATATAGATGTCATGCATATCTCCAGATACGTTCAGAAATATCTATACTGTTAGATGTATACAACCATCTTCTCAGATCAATGATTAAATATGACTTCGGGCGAATGAAGCATGTAGGTCTATTCGGGGACCATTCTTTTTTCAAACCAAATAAAGCGGTGCTACAGAAGCATAAAACAAATGAACCAAATAATAGAAACCAAATCACTTGAAGACTTTCAACAACAGCAACAACTAAAATGGATAGCACTTATAAACAGAAGAGTAAATAATGACATTATGAAAATGTTGACGTTCTACATTACATCAAATAAAAAATTTAAAAAGGACACCGCCATCAGTACTGGAAAGAGCTATGAGAGTTACTGGACTTAAGAAGCCAATTTAAACGACAGGAGTACTTGCTGATTGGTCAATGAATATCGAGTATCTTCCTTATAAGGAAACGGCTGTTATTACCATTACGAAATAGCAATTTTCAGGTTTTTTTAAGTAGTGTTAGTTGATTATATCCATGAAAACACACAATCTCTAGATCTGCCATCAGATCCATCCAATGTATCCTTAAATTCATTACTAAAAGTTATGAAAAATAAAGAGGCGATAATTTTATATTAGTCGTGTTTGTATTTTCATACAATAGTCGAAAATTTACATTCACAGGGCACGACACTTTCGTCCAGTCACTTTGAGAAACAACAATAACTAGCAAGCTGTAAGTTAACCAGCAGTAAAAGTTTATGATGAATACTTAGCAGAAGTCATCATGAGTCTTATTGGCCAAAGGCATCGAATTGTCTGTAGACTTTTCATACACATTCAAATTGATTCTACAAGAAATACCACATCCAAAGATCACAACATTTTCGATGTAACACAGAATGCAAGATATTTAGGTTTAGTGCCAACGTAACACAATATTAGCATTTTTATTAACTCATATAAGAAATAAAGATAATGAGCCGAGGCATCCGGCGTTGCCAGGGTGCATATGGCTGCAATTGTATAGCCGCCCCTTTTATCCTTTTAACGCTTCACTAATCCTTCTCAAAGACTTTGCATCAAAGGTTGTTCGAATACCAATTTAGGATGAAATCCTAAAAAGAAACTATTGGCTAAATTGCAAAAGCTAATTTTGTCGCAGATTTCGTCAATTTAACTGAAATAATCTAAGCCAAACATTCACGCAAGGCAAATTGTGTGTCATATATAATTTATATGGCAAATTTGGAAAGCATCGGATGAAAAACCGGGGAGTTATTGTCGCAAAAAACGGGCTTTTTTGACAGTTTTTCGTGGTTTATTGTTATACATGTGGAAGTGAACAGGACTAAAACCAAACCATTTTATTTCTTGCATGATGACATTTTTTTGCGAAATATTTAAAAAAATCAGATAAAAAATGAGGGAGTTAATCAAGTTTTCAGTTTAAGTAGTACGAAAAACCCGATTTTTTTATAGTTTTTTGCAATTTTTGGTGTGAAGCCAATGTCACAGGAAAACTATTAAGCACTCTACATAAGCGGCGTAACATGAGCTATGTTTTACATTAAGTGCAAAAGAAAAAAATTCAGCTCGTCCAGTAAAAATTTTGTTCGCGTGTATCTTTGCTTTGGTTTTTGCAAAAAATCGTAGCCAGCTTCAGTTTTATCGATTTTTTCTATCAAATTCGAGGGCGCGTGAGGAGACTGAAATTTGGTCTTGATCAATTTAGTAAATTTTCAACATGTGTGTAGAACTTCATCGAAATCGGTCGAGAAATGTGGGCGTGGATAAATAGCATACACACAAACTGTTTTATAGATATTGATAATAAATAGTTACTTCAATAATTGGACACATGCCATATATAGACAACATTCTTCTTTTGTTCTTAAGGGTTCGTTCCTTGCAGAATTCTGAATGAATGAAGGTGGACTGTTCAGCAGAAAGTATGCGAGACTAGCGTGTATCGTTAGGTTTTTGGCAAAATGTAGGTTAGGTATAAAACATATAGATAGATAGATAGATAGTTTTTTAATTAAACGTTAACTCAAATCTAAGATTCAGTTAAGATAGTAGGTTACTGAGTGAAGTTGTATAGACGTAAATGGATGAATTGTAAAATGGTTATTTATAAGATAGATAATGACTGACGAGAGACTTGAAGAACTGAAAATTACCGTGCAGAGGATAGCACTTGGAATTCTGCTTAGTAACGATTCTCAAGATTAAAGTGTCTGAATGGAACTTCCTTTATGAGAATGGAATAGGAAAGGAAGAGGAATGATTCGATCCTGTGCACATGATATGGCGGGTTCTAGCTGTAAAGGTCTGAATTGGTGGAACCCAAGAATATAGCTTATTTGAACATTTGCTATGGAAACAGCGATAGTGTAAGATTGGCTTGCGACGTTTCGTCTGTTTGAAAGGGACTGTAGGGTTGAAAGTAATTCATTGCCCACAAGGCTGCATAAATGCTTTTGAATTCTGTCAAGGCTGAAAAGTGAGGATTGGGCAGTTCCAGCTTTGGATATTGCAGCGATGCATCATTTTTATACTGATCTGATATTTATAAAGGATTAACAGGTGCAATCAGGTAATTTCTCACAAAGATAGATAGATAGATAGATAGATAGATAGATAATGAATAGACTCAGATGGATACAATTATCAAATGACCTGTAAGTAATTTGATTTGTTTTGTAGTGAAGCTTGATTTTTCCTTTTACCCCCAAAATGTAAATGTACTGTTAACGGAGAGGTTTCTAAACTCATTTTCGCTTCTCGTCCCACAAATTCAAATATATAATAAAGATTACCAGTTAGGCTATTTTGAAGTAGGTTGATGTGGAAAGTATTGCAATCATATATAGGTCTATATCTCGAGCTGTCCTATTGTCGTTTATTTTGGTAAAACTGGCAATTATCACCCTAAATCGATCGTAACTGCTTTTAAAAGGTGCTCTTGTTTAATTATATGTTTTCATAATTTTATTATAAAAATTGCCATATTTATGGATGAGTGTCAAAGATCAGGAATAGAGCGTTTGCAAATATAAACACCATGGACATAGAAAATCAACACTGGGGTATGACTGTCAGTTTCACACATAAAGCCATCAATTGACCATTGTTACTACTCTTTATGTAGGTTCTGATATTTAAGGCATTCGGAGTATATGGGAAGTTTAAGAAGAGATAAACTGTTTTTCTCTGTTTTTTTTTTTTTTTTTTTTTTGGTCTACTGTTTTAGATTATTTATAGTTTTGGTATAGATTTATTTTAGTTTATTTAGTAATATCATTTTGTCGTTATATTTATTTATTTATTCCTCATACAACATCTGATTAGCGTCTATTGTTCAAATTACCTGAACTGTGTGTTATTGCATATATATATATATATATATATATATATATATATATATATATATATATACACACACACACATATGTATATATATATATATATATATATATATATATATATATATATATATATATATAGGGAAACGGTGGAGTAATGGATAGCAGCTTGCATTGAGGAATCGGACGTGCTTGAGAAAAATATGTATCCTCCTCTTCTCCCCTTCGGCTATAAGTAAATAGCAGGACAGACTGAGTTCTATAGCCTTGGATGGCAACTGGTCTAAGAGAAGGACAACTCTGAATTCAAAACATGCGGAGGGTCTTTTGGGGACCTTGTGGCACTTAGCACACCAAGTCTCTGTATTCGGCCCTTCAAAAAGTATGGATAAACAAAACCTTCATTACTATAATCAAAACTCATATGCTGGTGTCGGGTTTTCCGTTCCTAGGAACTGATCTGCTTGACCTTCATACGTCGAATTCGACGGGAGAGTCGCCTATATATATATATTATTTACACTATTTATATTCCCCCCATTTATATTCGGACTATTTTCTTCAACTTAGTCGTTGTTATCACCACATTTTGGCCGTTGTTCTCTCCGGCCTTCCTCAGTTGAATATCGATCTGGATAACCCATACCTATGTAAAAGTGAACACTGGGAGCAGTATCGAATGGCCAGAGTCTATTTCGTGCATGGACGAAATCTTCAATCCATGTGTGTTATGCGTTGGCTCGACTCTTTATATAAGCTGGTCAAAGGTGCATTACGCGTATCAAGGTCGATTGTATATCCTAACATCTATTGGGTTGGCAGTAACGGTTATATTTCAAATTATTCTAGAAGCTATTGAGTAGAAATTATTGTTGATACAAATGCTATATAGTGTACGTTGATTTTTTTTTAATAATTATTTAGTACTGAATAGTTATCTGTTGCTGATTAGTATTTCATTAATTTACGTTTATGAATTCCTAGTTTATTAATGTGTTCATCATTGAATTTATTCATTTATTTTTAGTTTTGTTATTTAATTATGTTCGTAGATGGTTATCATATTTGTTTAGATTAAAGTATTGGCTTTGTCTAATGTATGTTACATTATATGGGTTGTATAATACATATATTAACATTTTTCCTGGTGATATTTTGCAAGGTATTCACCTTTAGCTTTCAATTTTTAAGTAACGTAGAAAAAATGTTTTCATATCTGCATTTGTGTTGGTCTAGGAAGGTGATTATATTTATGTTCCTCTCTAAGCAAGGATTACAATTTTGAGATATATTTTTGTAGGCTGATGCTGTTTTCTTTATTTTACATGATATTTTTGCTATATATTTCTTTTTCATTTCATATATATGTTTGGAAGCAGTTGTGCTGTTCGCGTATTTAATATTTTAAAAAGTTGTTTTGATTGCATAGTTTCTCTGTTTCCAGGGTATCTCAGCTAATCATATATATATATATATATATATATATATATATATATATATATATATATTTTACATTATCTGCTTGTTTTACAGTGGCTTGGTACATTATATTGTTTTGCAAAAAAAACAACAGAAAAATACCCCCTGCACAGATCACCTGCAACTGAAGAGTAAAGTATGAATGTCCCTTAAATAGTAACTGTTTGTAAAGTAATGTAATATAGCGAGCCACTGTAAAATCAGCAGATCATAACAAATAATTAAGTAATCAACAATAAATAATAATTAAACTATTAACAAACAACACGATACAATGACTACAAATAACTTCATTTGATCTACATTTTTTTCTACTCAATAACCTCTAGAATAATTTGAAATATAATCTTTAGGGCATACCCAATAACTGTTAGGATATACAAAAGGTTTAGCAAATATAAACCACCATTGACAATCTTATTTAAATAGTGGAGCCAATACACAACCCACTTCGCCTGAAGATTGCGTTCATCCATGAAACAGACTGTGGCCACTCGGTGTTGATCTCAGTGTCCATTGTTATATGTACATACGCTCTATCTGTGATATTAAGCAATTAACTCATAAATATAGCATACATTAAAATTATATTTTAGCATATATATATATATATATCCGAGAAGGCGCAAAAGTCACTTTCCTGAAGGTTAGCATCAGCCATGCTGATGGGAAGCAGAGGGAGGCCTTTTCAGATGCTTAATGGAGAGAAGTTTACTTTTGGAGGCGTTAAAATTAACAAGCGGTCTTTTACCCCATTTACCGACGGACTTGAGGTCGTTTTCGATATCGGCTGCCATTTTGAGCTCGTCGAACTGATCAGCCTTACTATCGAGACAGGAGTAAATGGTTTTGTAATCAGCGTAGAGTTCAATTTGAGAGTTGATGTCATAAGGCGGGTCATTACTGAAAATTAAAATTAGAGTAGGACCAAGGGGTTAGTATGAAAGGATCTAGAGGAGTTGCCATTCAGGATAACTGTCATTTCACGATTTGATAGGAAAGACTGGATCAGTTCAAAAATGTGTCCGGAGACACTGTAACTTTTTAGCTTGTAGGGAAAAACTGTATACCAATCCCTGTCAAAAGCTTTCAAGATGTTCAATGCTACAGCCATCTAGAGCATGATACTCTCTATCGCAGTTATTGTCAATACATCAGCAGTTGACCGGCAGAAACGAAAGCCGTAACGGTTGTCTGAGAAAAGGCTCTCTAGGAGTTTCCTAAAAAGCTAATAGTTCGATAGTTAGAAATGTTTGGTGGTTCACCAGGGTTCTTAAAAACTGTAACAATAGATGATGACTTCCAGGAAGCAGCGAGGCATTTATTAATTGTTTACAGAGGACATAAGCCAGTTCGGGTGAACACGTCTTAATGACTATTACAGCGATACCATGTTTTGCGGGGATCTATGTTAGAAATGAAACCAGAAACTATAGAATGGGTTATATGAATATCACTGAACAGAGACTCAGTTCTAAGTGGGAAGTTATGCAGGGATACTCCAGATGAGTCAAGAGTAGTTTAAGGAGAGTTTACGGACAAAACATTCAGCTTTAAGATGTTAACATCTCAAATTGATTGAAGAGGAGAGGAATAGAGACATTACATTTATTTAATACCCTATTACAGAACCGCCAGTAATCTTGAGAGCCAAAGTTGTTAGATGCTATGCGTTGCCTTATTCTCTCGGCAAACACCGATTTAGCTTCTTCGATGACTTGCTTACATTTATTACGAACAGCAACGAATAGGCGCCTGCTGTCACGCTGGTATAACGGAAAATAGTGGTTCCTGTGTGCTATAGAGGCCGAGCATGTGGGTGTGAACTATGGAGAGGATTGAGTGTTATTTCCGATAAGGGATGAAAGCATCCATGCCGGTTTTCATCCAAGAAGAAGCCTCAGTGGCGCAATTTTCAATTGGGAGGTTAAAGATGTCAGGAATAAAATCACAGAGTGAGTCACAATCAGCGTGTTGGTAACGGATGGAGGTATAATGAATAGGGGGTTCCTGTTTAATAGATGATTGTAACGAAATATCAATACCTACAACAGATTGGTCCGTGTTACCAAGAGGCAGTGTTGCGAAGCTCGACAAGAGCGATGAGAGTAGGTATGAAATAAATCAAGCAGAGAAGCCTGATGCTCGATTTTGCTAGGGAAACGAGAGGAGAAGTTCACGATTTGAGTATGAGATTGGACAATGGAAAAAATTAATGTCTGAATACTAGCAAAATAATAGCTTTAGAATGCTTTAGCCAGTGTCGTAGTAAGCATGAAAGTCATCGAGGACAAAGATGCAGATTAATGAAGAGAAAGTGCACACATACGCACACACACACACATATATATATATATATATAATAACAATAATAATAATACAATTAAAAATCGTGCAAATTATGAGATTTATAAAATATTTTTCGGCCACCAAATTTGGCGAACATCTAGCGCTTAAGAGCGTTTCGATCCGAGACCTTTGAACCGGTGAAACTAATAAGGCAATTGAACTTTTGTTCAGCCATTGAATATTGCATATATATATATATATATATATATATATATATATATATATATATATATATATGTGTGTGTGTGTGTGTGTGTGTGTGTGTGTGTGTGTGTGTGTGTTTCCTAACTATTCAGCTTTAATTTATTTCATGCCAATTTTCGTGTCAAAATCTTGAACCAAACGTTTGTTTAATTGCTTTTTTAGCCCTTGCTTCTTCTCACAATTGACGTTTGTCGTGCATAACCAGGAAAAATATTGGATAAAAGAAAGCAAACATTTTAACGGATGTTGTCATGA